AAGTATACATACATTATATCATTCTATTGATTTGTAAAAAGTTCCCGGTCTGCCTGGCTGTAATGAGATTTTTGAACTTTGCGTGGCAATCAATGAGAGGAATATTATTGGCCTGGAGAATTGATATACCTGCTCTCAGTGGCTTGTTCTGCTCCCAGCTGCCCCGGCCCCCCAGGTGTACGATTCCAGCAGACACTTAACCTTTTTTACAGTGTCATCAGGCTAAAAGGAATCTAATAGTGACACAGGACTTGTGCTCAGCACTCTGCCACTATTGCTTTCCTGTCACAAATAATTTATAGCCTTCTATTTCCATCCCTGAGTCTGCACCCCAGCCCTGCCTCTCGCTTCCCCCAGCTCCCAGGGATCAATAAACTCACACAGCCACAGTGGGACTTCAGGGTGCAAGGAGATGGACAAACAGACAAGGGGTCAGAGAAAGACAAAGAGGGAGAGAGAGAAGGAAGCACAGAGGAAGAAATGGGAGAGGGAGGAGGAAGAGGGTGGAAGTAGAAGAGGAATCAGGGTCCTCAGCCTGTGCTTTCTTGGGAGGCTGAGTGCCTCCTCTCTGGGAGACTCTTACCGAGCAGGGAGACCTCTGCAGTCCCAAGGTAGTAGAGGGGCCTCCTGGGAATTTAACCAAAGAGGCAGTGACCTCTCCATCCACGTCTGCTTCTCCATTCTTTGCTCTAGAGCCTGCCACACCAGGCCATTTTTCATATCCTTTCTGGAGCCCTCCTACAAGCCCCAAGTGGGGCTTGGTCCAGTACCCAGTCTATCTCCTTGAGTCTTTATGTGTAATCTCTCCCTGGCATGGTTCTGGCTCTTCCTGTATGTTCAGTGCTCTTTCCAGCATCTCAGTGGCCCCTGTATTGACCAAGCCAGGCCATATTGAGGGGAGGACTCCTGCCTACACCAGGCTCTGCCCCTAAATTGAAAGCAGCCAACCCCGGGGGTTCACTATAGGAATAACAATGCTAGTGGGCTCTACCAAGCCAACAATCATACTCGTCATTTCTATGTAGTGTCCCACTGAATCCTCACTGTAAGCCCTGGGAAGTGCAGAATAGCATTATCTTGTTTTGTAGATGAGGGAACAAATCACCAAGGTTTCCCAGGCAGTAAGTAGTAGAGCTGGGATCCAACTTGGGAAGGCTGAGGCGAGAGGCCAGAGCTCCAGTTCCCTGTACTATTCTCACACCTTCTTGTACGGGAGAGTCTGAGAGCCTGGGAGCCCTGTGCTGGACACAGGCCTTCCCCTGGGAAGGGCGGTCTCTCCTCTGACATGAGGAGACAGAGCACCCTGTGGAAGAAGCCTGCTGAGGCGGGAAATGGGGAGCAGCACCAGCCCTTCCATGAAAATGCAGATGATAACAAGCACCCAGGTAGGGATGTGACATCCAGGTCCATACATATAGATTTGACCTCTGTCTGAGGCCACAGAGGACATAGGTGTGTCTGGCCAACTTGTGGGGCCAAGCACAAAGACGGGGTGGGGAAGGAATGTGGGAAGCAGCATAGTCAGGCGTTCATCCTCCATAGCTGTTTGTCGCATCCTCCAGCCCCTCCGTGGAAGACCCATGAGCTGCACAGTTATTTGCAGAGTGCGGGAGTCCATGGGTGCCCATCAGGCCTCCAAGAGCCCAGTTCTGAAATTCCTTGCGATCCCCTCGGATGTGAGAATGCCTGCTGCCCAGAGTCCTGGGTGGACACAATAGCAGGTATAACTTGCGGCAGGCGCCCACCCAGCTCCACTCACATGCACCAGCAAATCGCTGTCAGGAAATAGTGATTTTCCATCACTTGCTGCCTCAGCTAAATCTGCAACAGTGCCCCAGGGGTCAGAGGCTTCCGGGTAACAAAGATGGAAACTCCAGGAGCCATCCAGTTATCTGTCCCACCCTGCCCCAGCCCAGGGCTCTCTTGGTCCAGAGCCCACGCCCTTAAGCGGAGCTTGCACTGCCAGTGATCAGAATAGCTGCTCTGCGTGGGTCAAGACTCTTCCAAACTGCCCTCAGCTATTGCTTGATATTTCCCATGGTGCTTGTGCTCCAAACTTTCTCCCCAGCTCTTCAGAGATGGCCCCACCTTCTGCTTTCCTGAGAGCTAAAAACTGCAGAAGCTGTTTGTATGTGGGGATGGGGATGGGAAGGATTGGGGATAGAACCATTGGGTCCTCACTGAATCTCAGTAAGTCCCTAAATCGCCAAGGATGCACTCAAACTTCCACTCCTCCTGCCTTAGCTTCCCAGAACCCTGACCGCCTAAGCATGCACTGTCAGCCCTATTGTAAAAGCTCCTCTGCACTGTCTCCAACCAGCAGGAAACCGCACCTTCCCCGGCCACCACCCTGCGCGCTCCATCTGCCCCTCTGACTCTGCTCTCCACTTTTCTTCCTCAGCCTCCAAGCTCACCCAGGTCCCTCCTGCCCTGGCTCACCTTTGCTCCTCCGCCAGGTCTGTCCCTGACTCACATACCGACTGCTGTTGGTCACCCCAACTCTTGTCCCACCTGGCTCCAGCGCTGCCAGTCTGCTGGGACCGTTCTCCTGAGGTCAGCGGCTCCCAGATCCCCAAGCCCCGCAACCTGCATTCTTCTTTTCATCAGCACCCCTGTTTACTACGTGACACTTACAGACTCTGAGGAGTCAGTCCCTGTGCATAGCACAGCTTGTTCTTCATCTTCCTCTCCTCCCCTCCTTCATCTCTCAGTGTCCTTCCCATTTGAGAGAGATTTACTGCGTCTTTCTGCTACTTATTTTGCTCTTTCCTTATATTTTTACATTTCCCACAAAAGAGAAGCCATGTGATTTTGAAGGTTGCATGTCTGATTTATTTCACATTATGTTTTCAAGGTGCACCCATTTTCCTATAAATGATTCCTCACTTTTCTTGATGGCCCTGTAGTCCTCATTACCCCATTGTGTGTAAACTCCACACTTTCTTTATCCATTCATCTCCGGTGTTCTTCTTAGCATCTTGTTCTCCGGACCTGGGTGAGGCCACTCTGTACATAATATAGGTTTTGCTATATCCATGCCTGTGGCCTCTGAGTCCTTTCAACACACCTGCCCAGAACATCTCCTTGGTCCCTCTCACTGTCCCAGCCAATGCTTGTGTGTCACAGCTGGCTGTGTCTACTTCGTGTGCTGCATGTGCAAGACCCACAGCATCACTTTCGCAAAAACCAGTCACCTCCCCATCACCAATACCGTGACACGGGACAGAGATTTCACAGCCACGGTTAACCACCAGTAGTGGTCAAATCTGACCATTTTGCCCTAATAGTGTCTTGCAAATTCTTTCTCTCCTTTCCTGAGTCCAGCTCTTTACCTTCACTGCCTGGACGCTGCTTCCTGGGACTAGTTTCCTTGGGATTCCTTTAGTTTGAGGCAGTGCTCTGATTTAAGATGCCCTAAGCCTGACTTTAGGAGGAAGGAGACTGAACTCAGACTCTACCCTGAGCAGCAGCGTGAGCTTCAGTGAGTTGTGGAACTCTCAGTTGTCTTGCTTTTCAACCTGTGAAATGAGGACAATAGAACCGACTTTGCAGGTTATTGTGAAAATCAAGAGGAGTGTATGTCAATAATATAGAGTGTACATCGTATTGGCACGTAATAGGAGTTCAGTAAATGGGGGACAGCGGTTTTCATCATTGCAACCTGGTTTGCAGATTTGCTGCCTCTTCCCTCCATGCCACATCCCTGGCAGGCTGTGAGGCCTGAGCCCTTCAGCGTCCAGCCCATACGGCTCCAGGCTGGACCTCTGCTCTCCCTGGCACCTGCTCACACTGCCTGCCTCTCCCTTGTCTGCCCATCTCAGAACCATGTCACTCCTACTGGAGAAAGAGACCACAGTGGTCCAGCCCCTTGCTTTAGATTTGAAGAAACTGAGGCACAGAGAAGTTGAATGAGGAGCCAAAGGCTATGGGGTCTCCCAATGGCAGAGGCAGGAATGGGGTGCAGGGCCCTGCCACACAGAGGGGACCCTCTCTACTGTGCTTCTTGTGCACCTCAGTGCTGCTTCGGAGCTCTGCCAAGCCTTGTCCTTGCTGACCTTCCCAGCCCTCCTATTTGCACATTCTGTGCCGCTGACCACCCGTGCTCTGACACTTAGCTCTGCTTGGTAGTGAGCCTCGCCTCCACGCTCCAGGACTGGCAGGCAGGGGCCTCAGCCCTCCTGCCAGCAGGTTCTTGGCCAAGTCAGTCAGAGCTTCATTGGCTCACAGCTGGCAGCGCACCCGGCCTGCTAAGGTACACCTGGCTCGAGTCTTCACTGGGAAGGAGCAGTGCGGCTGGCAAGGCTGTGGGTGCAGGGCAGAGGAAGCATTCTCAACCCTGGCTCCAGTGTGGACCCTGCACGTCACTAAGCCCTAGGTTTCTGGCATCCCTGGAAGCCAGGCTCCTCCCAGCTGTGCAGCGTGTGGTTTGGTCCTGCCCTCCTCTATAAAGAGGCTGTGTCTAGAAAGGCCCTATGGTAAGGAGCCATGGAGCCAGCGGCCATGCAGGGCCGGGCTGTGGCTCCTTTCAGAGCAGAGTGGGCCCAGGAGGAGGGTGTGTAAGACCTGACTGTGGCAGAGGACCACATGTGGTGTTAGAGGCTTGGTGACAAGAGTGTCTCCTGGGCCCAGCGTTCCTCTCGCTCTCCCTAGTTCAGGACATGGGGAAAACACCCCTCTCCCCTCAAATCTGGAGGAGCCAGCTCCAAAAAGATCTCCGGACCCAGGAAGTTGTGGCACCCAGGCACATGTGTTGATTTAGGAAGGAAGGTGAAGGTCCAGTCTCCTCATCCCAAAACAAGAGAAGGTGCTATGTTCCCTACCTTGCTGCCAGAACTCAAGCTACAATTCAGATGACACATGGGGAAGTGGGGGCAGAATGCCATGCGCAGCTCCGCCCAGAGCTCACGGTGAAGGCAGGCATGCAGAGGGAAGACGCTGAGGACAGTGCTGAGGCCGGGTGTGTGACACATGGTGTGTGACACTGTGTGGTGCCATTGCAGGATCATCCGGACCAAAGTTCAGCAGCCTTTCCACCCAACGCCAGACGGGACTGGGACAGGAGTGAGTGCCCCCGGCCACACCATCGGTAAGAGGGATCAGGGGGGAGGGGGCTGGCCCTGTCCAGGGAAAGCCCTGGAGACCATCTGCTCCAACAAGGCCCAGGGCCCCATGCTTCCAGTCTGTCTTCTCCTCGAGTGCCTAGAATCATGGTCTTCCTGAATGTGATTACTTCACACAGCCCATCTCTGCCTCTCACGTGGTACCAAAAACAAAACAAAACAAAACCAAAAAACCCCATTTCTTCTTCTTGTTCTTTCCTATCTTTTATCAAATTCTGTCTCCCTATCTGTTTCTCTTTCCTTCATATCTAGTCTCTTACTCTTTTTTTTCTTTTTTCTTTCTTTTTTTTTTTTTTTTTTTTTTTTTTTTTTGTCTTTTCGAGACAGGGTCTCACTATGCAGTTCAGGCTGGCCTTGAGCTCACTTTGTAACCCAGGTTGGTCTTGAACTCACAATGATCCTTCTGCCTCAGACTCCCAAGTGCTGGGATTACAGGCATGCACGATCATGCCCAGGTTTCTACTTTTTTAAATTTTTTTAAAAAATTATCTTTCTTCCTTTTTCCCTCCTTCCCTTGTCTTTCTTTGGTCTGCCTCTCCCTTTCTCTCCTCTCCTCTCTCATACATGGCTCTGAATCTATCCCTCTCCTCTCTCCTTCCCTCCTCATCTATGCTGGAGCTCTCTGCCTCTCTCTGGCCATGCTCACGTCTCTCCTAGACCCACCCAGGCCTGCCCCAGGTTCACACAGGCTGACTTCTCTTTGGCCTAAGGATACTCAGTGACACTGCACCCATAGCTGAGGCCTGGGGTCTAAGGGGCTGGAATGTGCTTAAACTTTTCCTGCTACCCGTCTTAACCACCATCCCCCTTGCTCTTGACCAGCAGGAAGTGGAAGTGGTGGCCCAACCCTCCTGGAATTAGCAGGTGCTATTGTTTCCCAGGCCTCGGTTAAAGTGTGTCCTGGGGTCAAGGTGGAGTGACACCATAACAAGCTGGTCACTGCACAGTCAATGGGCTCAGTGGTCCATGCCCTGAGAGGAAGCCTAGGACCTTCCCTCGTGAATTCAAGACGAGACACTCCCGGGAGAGCTGCAGCCCAGGAGCAGCCTGCCCCTCCCAGAGAACCTGAGAGGTCTCTAAACCAGGAGTGTTAAAGGCTGTCCTCCAGTGCCCTCAGAGCCCTGCTCTCCAGATCGCTGCCGAGGTGTGCTTGGGAGGGAGTCAGCCTCGGTGCAGAGGAGGCCTGGGCCAGCAGATCCCACTCACCTGTGGGGCTGGAAAAAGTGTGAAGGACCCGGTGTATGTGGCAGTGTGATCACCTCGTACCTTGAGGGCAAAGGGGCGTGTGTGGAATTGCTTTGCTCCTGCCTTGGGCTTGGCCTGTAATCAAAACTGCTGTCCTTACGGTGTCTCCTCCTTACTCTGGTCCAGTTCCCAGCACGGCCTCCCCTCCTGTTTCCAGCGCCTCCAATGACCCGGTGGGATCCTACTCCATCAATGGGATCCTGGGGATTCCTCGCTCCAATGGTGAGAAGAGGAAACGTGATGAAGGTAGGAGGAGGGAAGCGGTCTGGCTTCCCCTTCGCGCGCTTTGTCCCTGGGTTTGGAGCTCCGGTTTCCGCTGGCCTTGCAGCTGCTCTGCTGGCAGATCAGTTTTAGTGGCAAAGCTCAAGTCCCCCCACTGCCCTGCTGGCTCCTGGAGAGAGGAGGGAGGCTGCTGGTGGGGCTACCAGCTTCACCATCTGCTCAGCCCCATGGCCTCACCTTCCACTGGGATTCACCCCAGCTAGCCCATCAGGGTGCCAGGAGAAGGCCATTTACCGTGAAAAGGTTTTAGAGGCTAGGTGAACAACTGGTCTCTGACCCAAGGGTAAAAGGCCACCCCGCTGTGTCCTCACCTGATCCCAACCATCTGAAGATAAGGAGCGATGTTGCATGTAGCTGACTGGTGTCCTCTCCCACTGAACACTCAGCGAGCTGAGCACGGGACCTTTCTGGACACTGCTTCTCTGCGAGAGCAGACCTCCACGCGTGCTTCCTGCTGGCCTTTGCCCTGCTTCCCTCAAGGGCAGCCAGGCTGTTAGCTGGGAGCTAAGGGAGTAAGAAATGCAGGGGAGGTGGTGGGACAAGCTTGGACAAGATGTTCCTTGAATTCCTTGGCGTTGGGGGGTTCCCATGGTGACTTCTGGTTCCCTTCTGGTACGTGAAGCCAGCAACCGCACTGGCAGGCTCAGCCAAACAGACTGAAGTATCTGAGATGTGCTTTCTGCCTCAGTTCGATCATGGTCCCCGCTGGGAGAGGAGTAGTCTGCTGTCCTTAGCAGGATATGGGGTCCCGTGAAACAGAATCCCATAAAAGGAGGGACTAGAGCCCGTTAGCCCAGGGCAGTCTTGGTTCACACCTGTTGTCTCTGCATCCTGGCTGGCAGCAACTCTTACTTCCCAGAGTGCACTGAGGGGCGGGCGGTAGGTCTTATGGTCATGCCATACACAGTTGTGCCCCGTTGGGGAAATTGTAAGGCAGTAAAGAGTGGAGAAGAAGGACAAAGTTGAGGGTCGAAGGGCCACACTGAGGACCCCTGGGACCCAAGCAGAGGGAAGAGCGCTGAGTCTTGGCCTCCAGTGTAAGGGACAGAGTGTAGGAGAAGCCTCGGCCTGGCAAGACAGTGATGACCTGGCTCTGGCCTCCTTCCAGAAGCCCTAATGGCCTCGTTTTGCAGGAAAACAGCTTGTCTGGCTCTATTTCTCCTTCTTCCAAAATATCCAAACCCATTTGGCTGCCACGGCCTTTGCCACTCACTAAATTTCATTGTGGTTGTTTTGGCGGCAGCCCCTGATGGGCAGGGGGAGACTTTGTGAAAGGCCCTAAGTCCAAGCTGTCCCTGGGGCTTCCTCCACTGCAGCTCAGCCAAGCTCCCTGGCACCCCGAGAGCTTCGGTGGAAGCTGCCGCAAACCCAAGGGTTTCTCTTTAATCACCTGCATCGTTTAGACTGTGACAGAGCCGAGAGTCCAGGGAAGCCAGAGAAGCCTCTTTACCCTCTCCCCCACTGGCCCAAGTAGGGCCACTCCTGCCTCCCACTGCCTGAGCCCTGATGGTGAGCCAAAGGGGAGACCAGGGTACTGGGCGCTGGCCCGAGGCCATGGCCACCTGGGGCATGGCCTGGCAGGCCCAGGTCTCCTTCCTGAGCACTTGCTCACATGCACTGTTTGGAGTCAGTTCCGCCAGGGAAGCTTTCTGCACGTCAGCAGCAAGGCTCAGTGGAGGAGATTTCCAAGCAGAACAAATACAGCTCTTGACCTTAAGTAGCTTACAGTCTAATGGGGCATGTAAAGCCCTGAGCCCACAGCTCAGAAAGGCATGTCAGACACCATTCTTGATGGTCACCTGGCCATGGGCCCTGGCGCCTCTCTGAGGAGGGGCCCTGGCGTGGAACAGCCAAGACAATGGCAGCCTGAAATTCTACCTGATATCATGACCTTGTGACCAGAAGGGCTTGTGGCCAGCAGCACAGGACAGCTTTGGCAGGGAGGTGTGGGCAGGAGGGAAGTGGCAGACCTAAGACTAAGTAGCTGGGTCAGGTTTGCAGGAGAGCAGGCCAGGATTGGCCAGGGAAGGAGGGTGGAAGTTTTGGTTTGATTTTTGGTTTTTGGTTTTTGGTTTTTGGTTTTTGGTTTTCCCTAAAAGCAAGAGTAGCCTCTGAAGGGGTCTGGACAGGAACATACAGTACAGGAACAGGGTTGGGTCTGGACAGCATGGCAGCAGGGAGACCATGCAGGGAGCCACCGAGGTCTGCAAGAGAGGGTCATGGGATCTTGAAGTTTCCTGTCACTGCTGGGCCCAGCCAGGTGGTACAAGGACCAGAGGCCTGCTTAGATTGTGAGGCTTCTCCTGTCCTGACTAACCTTCCTCTTGACCAGCCCCAGGCTGCATGGAGCTGTCCTTGTTCTGGCTCCAGGAGGCAGACCATTCTCTGACCATTGCTCCACGGGACCCAGGTGGTAAGGACAAAGGACAGAGGAGAGAGGAGAGAGCAGAGGTAGACCTCAGGAGCCCTCCTCCCCTCCCCTGCCCCATGCCTCTGAGCAGCCAGACCCAGTTTGCATTAGGAAACAGCTCAGATGATTAAGAACAGGGAGATAATTATGTGTCAAGATGATGTAGCCCAACTCTGCAGTCAGGCCAAGGTAGCAAAGCAGCTGGCAGGCCCATCGGTTGCAGGAGGCGGCCTTGGGCACAGGCTGCACAGACACCTCACTGTGTCCTTCAGCTCTTGGGCCAGGATAGCAGAGGGAAGAGAAGCTGACTTGAGGAACTTGCTGTGCGGGGTGTGATGGGGGATGCATGGCCAGGGACTTGGCCCTAGAGAGAGTAGAGGGCCAGAGATAGGAGGACTTTGGCTGTCTCCACCATCTGGCCCTCTTGTGGCCTTGGGCCCTGGCAGCTCTATGAAAGTGTCATACCCTGAAGGCAAGACAGACACTTCTCTGCCCTCTGGGAGACGGCTCCAGCTTCTGCCTCTGGAGACAGCATGGCCTATTCCTCTACTCTAACAGGGGCACAGTGGTGGGCATTAGTGAGGACGATCACCGCAGCGTGTGCTGGCATTCGTGGAGACAACCTCAGCAGTAGTTACTGGTGTTCACAGCCACAATAACCAGAGCTTGGCACCAGCGCTCAGCGTATTCTCAGCATTCTGAGTATCTGCAGCAGTGGTATCTGTAGGGATATTCGTGAAGTGCGCTCAGCTGTCCCCCAGAGGGGAAAGCTGACAGTGATCACAGGCTGCTTGAGACTCCTTGCCTTCCTGGCCTGTGGCAGTGGGGAAACCCTGGACTTCCCTTGGAGAAATAGCTTCACTTTCCTCCCAGGAGTACGGGCGGCGAGCCTGGAAGGAGGTAGGCCAGGGAAAGATGAGCAAATCATGTCCCAAAGCATCCAGAAGGCAGGCTGTGCACCAGCCCCCATCCTTTCCCTTTCAAAATCTTCTTTTCTTAGCTACCCAGTTCTGGCTGGGTAAACTAGGGCTGGTTTCCCCAACACAGACAGGACACTGGTTCCCTGAATGTTCATGCCCTGGAGATCTGTGCTGCCCTAGCCATAGTCTACTAAAATCCAGGCTGGATGTGTGGGCCAATGATAGAGTGCTTGCCCAGCATGCATGAAACCCTGGGTTCGATCCTCAGCATGACAAAGAAACAAACAAAACCCTTTACCTTCTCCCTATTGATTCTGGCCACAGCCCAGAGCATCCCTGTCCTTCGCCAGGGTGTTGGAGTGCAGAGCAGTTACATAACTTGTCCCAAACCCAAATGAAGTCACATGGTGAGAGTCCATGGCCTGTGTGAGGGGTGTGCTGGCATCGTCTTCTGATGTGTGAGATTACAGGGGCTATGATTTTGCATTTCATTAATTAGGTGCACAATGAATTGTGCAGTTGAGTGGCGCCAAGCTGGTGCAGTTGTGCATTTGTAGGCAGGACAGGTCGTACGGCTGAAAATGGCCCAGTCCTATCACTGCCTTTACTAGCTTCCTTCAGCTTCTGTAACTGGAAAAAGCAGTTTATTTCCTTACTTGGTTTCCCCTGGAAGTTCCCAAGAGTATTGCTCAGGTTGGACTTGGAGCAAATGAGTGGAATACGCTGTGGAAATAAGCAGCACCTGCCCTTGTCTAAGAACCCTGGACCCAGGAGAGAGCAGGCTGCAGAGAAGGGCTGGTTGCTTCCTGCAGGCAGAGAGCAGGAGGCGATGTAGTCCCAGGAGCCGGCTACAATGGACAGTGGCTTAGCATGGCAGAGTGAGTCCCACTCGCTAGCTGTGTGACCTTGGAAGGCCACTTCGCTTGTATCACTTGGTCTTCCGCTATATAAAGTGGATGAGGTAGCAGCCCTTCCTCCACGAGGACAGTGGAGAAGAGTCCTAGAGTGTGGGGCTAGCCATGCTGGAAGGTGGGCTGGGTGCCTAACGCTAGGTTAGGTTTCTCGGGAAAATGAGGTTGAGGTAAGTTTGTGTGGTGCAGGCTCCCTACCCTTGGAGCTGTCCTTGTACCCATGGTGACCTTCACCGGATGCCGGGATAAGCTAGCCTGGAGGAGGCCAGTACAACTGTCCTCTCCTCTACGCTTGGCAAAAACTTCACCTGTCTCTCCCTGTTCATTTGCTCTTTGGTTGCCCATTGGGCCACATATCATCCATCCACCTCCACAGGTGTTGTCTCTGTATGTGAACAAACAGCAGAGCCCCTTTTTTCTCCGGGAGAGGCGCACCATACTCCCTCTGTCCATCTGTCCATTCCTGCCCTCGTGCACAAGCTCATCTCTTTGCCTTGGAAAATGCATGCTTGTTTTATGGACCTACGTGTAATTTTCCCCATGGTTTGTGCACGTGTGAATATATGTATATTCTGTCCCTCTGAGGTCTTGGGTGTAGGGGTGCAGAATGTCCAGCATTGGGGATGCCTGCAATTTTCTAGGTAGTGTACAGACTTGGAGAGAACCAAGGTGACCACATGCACACCCACAGGCATCAGTGAGCCAGGCCTGAGCATGACCAGG